GTGAAGAAAAGTGAATATTAGACTGTTCAAAAAAAAATAGCAGTGTTTTGTATTCTTCTTTACAAACTCAAACATTTACTATATAAACTGAACAATGTTTGAAGATTTTGCTTTCCTTTGAATCACTTAATTAATATTTAGTTGTATAACCACTGTTTCTGAGAACTGCTGTACATCTGTGTTGCATGGAGTCAACCACCTTCTGGCACCTGTGAACAGGTATTCCAGCCCAGGATGATTGGACTACATTCCACAGTTCTCTATTTCTTGGTTTTTCCTCAAACTGCATTTTTGATGTCACCACACAAGCTTCTATTGGATTAAATCCAGGGATTGGGCTGGTCACTCCATAACCTCAATCTTGTTGGTCTGGAACCAAGATGTTGCACGTTTACTGGTGTGTTTTGGGTCGTTGTCTTGTTGGAACACCCATTTCAAGGGCATTTCCTCTTCAGCATAAGGCAGCATGACCTCTTCAAGTATTCTGATGTATTCAAACTGATCCATGATCCCTGGTATGCGAAAATAGGCCCAACACCGTAGTATGAGAAACATCCCCATATCATGATGCTTGCACAGCCATGCTTCACTGTCTTGACAGTGTACTGTAGCTTGAATTCAGTGTTTGGGGGTCGTCTGACAAACTGTCTCCGGCCACTAGACCCAAAAAGAACAATCTTACTTTCATCGGTCCACAAAATGTTGCGCCATTTCTCTTTAGGCCAGTCAATGTACTCTTCGGCAAATTGTAACCTCTTCAGCACGTCTTTTTTTTTCAATAGTGGGACTTTGCAGGGGCTTCTTGCAGATAGCTTGGCTTCACATAGGCGTCTTCTAATTGTAACAGTACTCACAGGTAACTTTAGACCTTCTTTGATCTTCCTGGAGCTGATTGTTGGCTGAGTCCTTGCCATTTTGGCTATTCTTCTATCCGTTCGAATGGTAGTTTTTCGCTTCTTCCACGTCTTTCAGGTTTTGGTTGCCATTTTAAAGTATTTGCAATCATTTTAGCTGAGCAGCCTATTATTTTCTGCACTTCTTTATGTTTTCCCCTCTCCAATCAACTTTTAATCAAGGTACGCTGTTCTTCTGAACAATGTCTGGAACGACCCATTTTCCTCAGAATTTCAGAGAGAAATGCACTGTAACCAACATGTACAACATTTGCTGCCTTCCTTCCTTTGAAAAAAAAACAGGTGGCAATTATTGCCCTTATTTAAAGAATGAATGACCTCACTAATAGAACTCCACACTGCTATTATTTTGAACATGCCCCTTTCAATTAGTGATTCAATTACACAGAATCAGCAGCATGCATGTCATGACTGTTAGGTCTGTTGGATTTCTATTACTCTACTACACCTGCTAGTAAATTATTTGCCATGTAGAAATATCATTTCTACCAAAAACAGTGATTGATCAGGTTAGTGATGTCTGACTGCTATTATTTTGAACACAATTGTATATGTAAAGCGCTGTGTATATTGACAGCGCTATATAAGTACCTGTAATAATTACTTCTTAGCAGGTTATGGATCTGGAACAAGTATGTGCATATCATTTTTACATCTGATGTGAATGCTTGTTTAATGTCAATGACACCCAAAGTAGTAGAGCCAGAATGAGTCGGCAGTGACAAGTCCAATATTTGTATCCTGACAGTTTCTTATAGGTGTTTTCTGAAAGGAGAAAAATGAGACTGCCCTTACATGCCTCCCTTTGAAAATGTTAGTTGCCTGGCTATTGTGCCTACCCACTGCCTTCATTGAGTACATGTTGAGAGCCACTGTAATGAACTCGGGTTTCAGATCAGGTAGGAGAAAATTCATTGGATCTTCTGCATCCTTGCTCCAGATCAGTGATTCAAATGATTCCTACAAAAACATAACTGTGATAGCCAGACAAATATCATTTTAAAAGGAGGATCAGGAACAGCAGCTTCCATGTTTGTCTCCTCACTGTTTTTCTCATATTTACCCTACATACCAGAACCAATGAGGCAGGTGCTTCAGCAGGAGGAGGGCACTAAAAGTGCATACCTTCAACTCTGTTTCTGAGGTTGTTTATAGCATATGGAGGGTTACCCTTTTCGCCTTTTCACCTTGGGTGCTAGGGGAACCTTGTCTCAGCACTACTAAATACCCTAGTGATATACCTATGAATTCATGCCTTTCATGGATGGACGGGATCATGCTGGCAATTCTAATATCTGTGAGAAACCTCATTCACCACCCATCTTTCCCTTTATTCCCACAGGAAGCAAAATCAAAGATCCCACTTTGGCAGGGTGTGGCATCTGGGAACAGGTCAATATTTTCCTTCCCTGATATGACACAAAAGGAGGGAAAAAGGAAAAAAAAAGTGGAAGGCTGTTGATATCTGCCCTAATGGTGTGGGAACTCTTCAACTCAAGATTTGTTTGTTTTTGGGATCACTCTAACAGGAAAAATGAACTGGAGTTGCACTTTAAAATGAGCAGTGATCTTTAAGCTGAAAACCTGGAGTTATCACTTTTTAAAATGTGCCAGCTTACAATTGGTTGTATATCACCATGGGGACTTATCTCTTTAATTTAAATTTACATCCTTACTGAGCACTGGGGATACAGCTATCCTTATACTTCTGGTGCTCTTACGCTTGACTTTCTCATCTCAGCCTGCACAGCCTGTCACGTGAGGTCTGCCCTCGCCCCTCCTCTTCTCTTGTCCAATCACGGAGCTACTTACCCCTCTTGCTCGGTAATATCCATAAGGCAGCATATACTTTATTTGATTTAACCTATTGCAAGCCAGCACATTTTAAAAGCTGGCTAAATTCTTGGTTTCACCTTTAATCGCTACCAAGGTATGTTTATAAACATCACAAATGGTTAAATCAAGCTCACAGCTGATACCAGCTTTAAGAGCTGGCGAAGTGCTTTCTCATAATGGCCACATCAGTCACCCCTTTCCTGGGTCAAAGCTGTCATTCCTTGGCTAATGTAGTAGAGTGTACAGCTATTCCAGCACATTCTTCAATTTAAATTTTTTAATCGCTTTTTATTCATTCTATACTATTTTTTTTTTTTTAAAGCACCCCCGCATACATCCCACTTATCAGTTGAGCTTAAAGATGTAAAATTTACAGACATTTGAAAGCCATGAGAATAAAATGGACATTTCCAGAAAAATGTTTTTTAAAAATTGTGTGGTGTAGTTTTACAAAGTCATTTTGTTACACTGGGAATGTGAAATGCTGTGTATATTAAAGTATTATGTTTAATTACTGAATAAGCTGTACTTTAGATGTTGGTCTCACAATTTTACTGAGAGGAGGAAAGGAGAAAGGATAAAACTATCTACTGAGCAGACTATGGGTAAACATTATGCTGTGATGGTAGAGAACATTAATCAAAATAACTTAAAGGTTATAAAGATAAATAAATATGTCAGACAAATTTTACCCTCTTACCTGTCAATTAAGGCCTGAAACTATCATCATCTGTATCCCAACAATTACCCAACTATAGGAGGTACAAGATGGAGCCCACAAGCAATCTAAACTGGAGCATTTCCCCTGCAGTGCCCCCTAGTGGAAGAAATGCATATTTCTCTTGTTTGGGAACTGCATTGGGAAGTACAGTGTTACTTGAATTGTATTCCAGGATTTGCTTGTCTTCAGCTGAGAGAACTTGCAGTGATTTAAGACTTTATAAAGTCTCAAATCTTTTATTAAAGTCTTCATGTTATATAATTTTTAAATATTATATTTATGATGTGGTATTCATAGTTTTAAAAGAACATATTTCATACTATTTCCTTTATATTTCTGGGGGGAAAAAATGCAACTGGGCTATGGGAAAAAAACAAAAATTTCCTAATCTTTCCATTTTAGGTTTTTTTTTTTTTCCCCAGGCCTTCCCATCTCTAATTGCGCCACACCTGTATTGACACAAACTTTGGAGTGCAAGCCATGCTTCCAGGACCATAGTTTAAAAGTCTTTACAGTTAACTCTAAAGTGATGACCTGTAAAGTGTTGCACCATATTACTCAGTACAACCTGATCTGTTAGATGTTATCAAAAAAAGGGTATAATATTGTGTTTGCACTAAAATTCATTTTAGTGTGTTTTTTTTTTTCCCCTGAAAATTTCTATTTGATAACTGTGCAAATATTGTGACATAAACTACAACTACCACCATTTTATTGTAAGAGAACTTGACTATGGCTAGCTATGCCTGGGAGCAGTGACATCACCTGTAGGCTTACTATGGCCCATGCCTTGTCTGTGCTCCATGTTTTCCCCTGCAGCAGTGGCTGGCTGACACTGGAGCTGGATCACATGACCTGACTGGAGCAGGCTGAAAATAGGTAAGTATAGAGCTCTTTCGTACACACGTTGGTCAGAATAGGTGTTGGGGGGGATACTTTTTTTTTGTTTTTAAAGGCTAATTGGGTAAAGCTTGGAATACTACTTCAACTTTATTGCATGCTTTGCTAGCTGTAGCAAGGATTGCTCATAATGATTAGAGTGCAAGCAAAATGACCTTCCATCACCTGCCTATATGACTGAGCAATGTGATTATGACTTTAGGGATTGGTCTCGGCAGAGTGATGCATTGCAGTGTTTTCAGAATCGTTTTTCATGGGTTGACCTACAGTTTTGCTTTAAAGTCAATCATCCAGAGAAAATGGTATCAGAAGGCATCTAAAAAGACAGTGAAATGCAATTCACTTTAAATGCATGCAATCGCTGATGTTGTTTTAGTTGCATTAGTGAATGAGCTATTTTTCTTCTGAAAAAAGCAGATCTGCCAGATCCCTTGTGAATGCTAAGATGGTCTCCAGATTTAGTCAGTCATGCTCTTTAGGGACTTTGATTCTTCCACATTTGTTGTCCATAGTGTGAAACGGTCTCTGCATGTAATATATATGATCAATGCAGTAACTATGTGAAGGATTAATTATGTAGCGCACATGTACTTGCATATGTTTACATTTACCCATCTTTCTTCTGCCAGGAATCTATGTCATTGGATTTAGCTACCCTGTGGTACCCAAGGGTAAAGCTCGCATTCGAGTACAGATTTCAGCAGCTCATAGTGATGAAGATATTGACAACTGTGTACAGGCATTCACAGAAGTGGGTCGTAAACATGGTGTAGTGCCATAAGACTAGGAACTAACAGAGGACATGACTGGTCATTATAAAGTCGCATTTGGAATTGAAGATGCTGCAACAGTGTTACCTATACTACATCCAAACTGACAAACTTCTTTTTCTTTCAATGTAATTTTTCTTATTGCAGTTGTTACATAAAGGTAACTGGACAGTGGTGTGTTGATTCAACATCCAGCTTCATATTTTTATAAAGTACACGTGCAGGTCAGTGTGTATACATGAGTACCTCCTTCAATCCTTCTCCCCATCTTGATTTAGAAAAGGGGTAGGCATCCTCAGCCCTCCATCTTTGGTGAAACTACAAATCCCATCATGCATTTGCCTGGGAGTCATGCACATGGCTGTCAGTCTTGCAGTGCCTCATGGGACTTGTAGTTTCACAACAGCTGAAGTGCTAAGGTTGCCGATCTGCCTTAAATCAACTCTGTACCTCTTTAAAAAAAAAAAAATCCAATGATTTCATGCTATCTTATGCAGTAATATAAAGGTTCTCCTTCACCCAGCATCAGCAGTCTCATCCACCACACCACAACACATTCTCAGCGCAGTTCAAGCTACAGCTGTGTTTACATAGTTTTCTTAGTTATCAGGCCTGTCACAAGACTTTGAACTAAGCCTTGGTTTCTGCTCTGATGGCTAGCAATTGCATAGTAACTTACACAATTGTATACAGCTTGCCTGCTTTGTTCCAGGACTGGTGGGTAAAGGCCTATGACATAATATAGGCCAGGGGTGCTTAACCCATGGGCCGTCTGAGTCCTCTGCTGTGGCCTGCGACCTCAAACCAGGGAAGTGCATACCTGGAGTCGGCAACTCATTGATGGTGAGCTGGGCTTGCCCACCCGTCATCCCAGAGCATCAGAGTGCATTGAGCCGGCAGCGGAGGGAGCAGGAACTGTATAAGGTGATGCTTCCTCTGTAGCACTATCTCCTGTCCCAGTCAGTCATACCCAGTACACCTCACCTGGGACCTGTCTGGTAGGCTAGAGAGTGATGCCAGCAGAAGCATGCTTTTGCAAGAGGCATATTAGCACCTATAAAAGGGTTAACAACTATTAGGCTGCTTTCACACTGATCTGTTGGTGCAGAGCATTGCACCTGTGGCTTTCATGTGGGATAGCTGCACTGAGCCATTAACTTCTATAATATCCTGTATGGTTGGTGTGTTTTCAGAAAGTGCACCACACCCACAAGCTATAATAGAAGTCTATGGCAAAGTGCACCTAACCTACAGGAAAGCTGCAGCTGCACTGTGTTGTACCTGCGGTGTGTGGAAACCAGTGTATCAGTGTGAAAACAGCCTTATAGGGGGCTCAGGATTAAGAGCTTGTTTTACATTTGCGGTTTTGAGGGGCAGCAAAACACCATAGTTCAAACATGCTTTTACCCCCCCTTAACCACTGGTGTAATGCCTGTGTTGTCTCCTTGTCACATTCTTGTTTACACTTGGACAGGAAGGGTGCTGGGGGTGCCATACACATGAACTGATTCTCTCCATTTCCTACTGCAACTGCTGCAAGCTGGCTTCTCCTGTTCTCCCTAGTGCTGGCATTCAGTGGCTGTAGGAAGAAAATGTTAATTATGCTATTCAAAATGTAAAAAAAAAAGAAATTTTGAACCACTTCATTTCACTGTGGCCCGTGACTGGTTACCAAGTCACTTAAGTAGCCCTCACTCACTAAAAGACTGGGTGCCCCTGGTATAGGCTGGGATTTTATTAGAGGTATTTTGCATTCTTCTGAAGCAGAGTTGTGGTGGTAGAAGAGTGCTGATACTCTTGTATGGTATCTAGTGATATTCTCTTGGTAGGGTGTTTGCACTAGCCGCTCCTGAGCAGGGACAGCATGTAGTGCACTCCTATAAGCTAGTACAGGTGCAGACTTGCTTCTGCTGACTCTGGCTTCAATACTCTGAATCACTGACCCTGAACAAGAATGCAGCAGGTGGTCTGAGTCAGAATTGATGTACATACAGTAATCATTCTGGGTCTTTGATGCAGAAAATATCAGGTCATGCAATTCAAGAAACTAATAAAGGTTGAGGTTAGCACTGGAAGCCTACTTTTTCCATCAGTTCAGGTTTCCTTAAACAGCAAGATCTAGTTCCTGCCATTTCCACAGTAATGTTTTCTGGGTGCAGCACAGGGTCTCATAGTCTTTCTGCTGCAATTGCTGTAGAGTTAAAAAAAAAAAAAAAAAAAAGTAAAACCAATAGGGATGAGGATGCTAACAGTTGATTCTAATCCTGTAGCTAAAAACAAAATAAAGCTACCTGCAGCAGCAAGCAGGTAGGTGATTGAAGCTACATGGATGAATAGATATATATAGATCTATATATACACTTTATTGCCAAAAGTATTGGGACACCCCTCCAAATCCTTGGATTCAGGTGTTCCAATCACCTCCATGGTCACAGTTGTATAAAATCAAGCACCTAGGCATGCAGACTGCTTCTACAAACATTTGTGAAAGAATGGGTCACTCTCAGGAGCTCAATGAATTCGTGTGTTACTGTGATAGGTTGCCACCTGTGCAATAAGTCCATTTGTGAAATTTCCTTGTTACTAAATATTCCACGGTCAACTATTAGTGGTATTATAACTAAGTGGAAGCAACTGGGAACAGCAACTCAGCCACAAAGTGGTAGGCCACGTAAAATGACACAGTGGGGGTCAGTGCATGCTAAAGCGTACGCAGAAGGTGCCAACTGTCTGCAGAGTCAATAGCTAAAGACCTCCAAACTTCATGTGGCTTTCAGATTAGCACAACAGTGTGTAGAGACCTTCATTGAATGGATTTCCATGGCTGAGCAGCTGCACTCAAACCTTACATCACCAAGTGCAATGCAAAGCATCGGATGCAGTGGTGTAAAGCACTCCGCCACTGGACTCTAGAGCAGTGGAGACTTGTTCTCTGGAGTGACAAATCACGCATCTCTGTCTGGCAATCCGATGGATGTCTGTGGGTTTGGCGGTTGCCAGGAGAATAGTACTTGCCTGACTGCATTGTGCCAAGTGTAAAGTTTGGTGGAGGGGGGTTATGGTGTGGGGTTGCTTTTCAGGGGTTGGGCTTGGCCCCTTAGTTCCAGTGAAGGGAACTAGTATGGCGTCCGCATACCCAGACATTTTGGACAATTTCATGCTCCTACCTTTGTGGGAACAGTTTGGGGATGGACCCTTTCTGTTCCAATATGACTGCGCAGCAGTGCACAAAGCAAGGTTCATAAAGACATGGATGAGCGAGTTTGGGGTGGAGGAACTTGACTGGCCTGGACCTGACCTGACCTCAACCCGACAGAACACCTTTGGGATGAATTAGAGCAGAGACTGCGGGCCAGGCCTTCTCGTTCGACATCAGTGCCTAGCCTCACAAATGCGGTCCTGGAAGAATAGTCAAACATTCCCATAGACACACTCCTAAACCTTGTGGACTGGCTTCCCAGAAGAGTTGAAGCTGTTATAGCTGCAAAGGGTGGGCCAACTCAATATTGAATGCTACGGAGTAATGCAGTCCATACATGGTTCGAATTCCAAACTATTTTTCGTCTGAAAATCAAAAACGATCGCTCAGTAATCTGATTGTGCCATCAATGATTTTGAAAATTGGCCAAACAAGTCATACAGTTCACCCCATATAGCAGGTGAAACTTCTGTTCCTTCCAGGTCACGGCTCATGCGCATATTCTTTTTGGAAAAACGATTGTGCGATTTGACCATTGAGTCAAAAATCGATCGTTTTTCGCGAATTTTCCAACATGTCTGATCACTGAAAAGGGGAGGAACCACTAAAATCGGCTGGTGCCATTGACCCACTAACAGAGCGAAAATTGTCCGATTATTCTTAGGTCCGATTTTTTTTATTTATTTATTTTTTCAGATGAAAAATCGGTCGAATTTTGACCCATGTATGGCCGGCCTAAGACTGGGATGTCATTAAAGTTCATGTGTGTGTAAAGGCAGGCGTCCCAATACTTTTGTGTGTGTGTGGTCATTATCTACATAAGAACAGTGTTTTGTATTATGGGGACAAGATGCACATAAACTTTGCCACTAGGAAGTGGCTTAATTGTCTAGGATTCTGGGCAGCACTAAAGTGAAAACATATATAAATAAATGAAAATGTTCATTTTGAATGTAGAGAAGGTTTTTTGCAGAAGGGCTGTTACAAGATATTACTATATATAGTAGTGGTCAAGTAGCCCTCTCCACCCAAAATTTCTGGCTGACAATCTCTTCTAACAAGGTTAAGAGTGGTGTGTGTGTGAATCTTTCACACTGCATGTACAGGACTGTTCACCCAATAAACACTATAATGATGCACAAAGTTTAGTACGCAATTATCAGATTTGTTTACTGGCAATAGCAGTGAAAATAAATTCAGGTTAGTTGGTTTAGGTATATAAGTATGGAAAGAGTGGAGATGGGTTAGAACACCTCTCAGGTTTAATTGTTACCTCTGCCCTGTTGGGAAGATTCATCCTTTCTATTTGGCCTGTTTACTGTTATCGTAGTAAGTACATCCCAAATTTTGAGTTGTTCCCAGAACAGTAATAAAGAGGAAATCTTCAAAAAAGTTGACACTAGCTCTGGTGACCTTGGAGGCCTCAATGCGTTTCCTTAAGTTGCAGGGGTTTTCCTCTCCCTTCGTGTTTTGGCTATGGGAAAGGAATAAAAGTGAAATCTAGCCAATGAGACACAGATGGTAAAAAAAAAAACTGCCAGAGGCTCTAACCCTACCTTGATCCAAAATGAAACCGTTTTGTCTATATTTCTACTTGAATTCACTTTGCACATTGTACTTTGCAGCAACAAGTAAATGCGGTTCATAGTCTTATACAGATTTTACTTATCTTGGTCTGTTCTCATTAAAAATATATGCGCTCATCTTTTTTTTGTATGTCTTATATGAAAAGCTTGGAAAATATTAGTGGATGGGAAATACACAGTATATAATAATGTTTCTGCAAATTATTGAAAGTTATCAGAAGTACAT